CAGTAACCTGCTTACTGGTGCTTAATTTGGGTTCTGCCAGACCCAATTAGTTCCTGACATCATTACAGTAACAGGCAAAGTATGGACAAATGAATTGAACATGAAGGGAAATGAGGCAACAATAAGGCAGCATTTGACCATCAGTGACATCGAGGAGCCACAGTAAAACTGAAGTCAATGGGAACTGGGGAAAACACTCCACTAGTTGGAGTCAAAATGAGTAAAAAGGAAGACTTTTATTTGTTTTTTGGAAATTAATCATCTCAGCTGCAGGACATCACTGCAGGAATTTCATAGAATAGTGACCAGGCACAATAATCATCAGCTGTTTCACCAATGATCTTTCCACCATCTTAAGGTCAGCAGTGATAATATTCACTGCTGATCGTGCAGTGTTCAGCACCATTTATGACTTTTCAGATATTGCAAATACAGCATGACCTGGACACCATTCAGGCTTGAGTTGACAAATGGCAAGTAACATAACCACCACACAAGTGCTAGGTAATTAGCATATCCAGCAAGATGGAATCTGATCATTGCCCCTTGACATTTAATGTAATTACCATTGCTGCAATCAAAATTCTGGGGCTATCATTGACCGGAAACAATATTGTGGCAGATCAGAGGCTCAATGCCTGCTCGCTATCTACAAGGCACAAGTCAAAAGCACAATGCCTGGATAAGTGCAGCTCCAACAATACTGAAGAAGCTTGACACCATCCAGGATAAAGCAGTGGCTTGATTGGTGCTCCATCTAACAGCTTCAACATTCGCTCCCTGCACCACTGATGCACAATGGCAACAGTGTGTACTGTCTGCAAGATTGACTAACGTGCCAATGCTCCTGTGACACTACCTCTAAGTCATGCAATCTCTAACATTGAGAAGGACAAGGGCAATAGATACGTGGGAATAACACCACCTGAAAGTTTTCATTCAGGCCACACACCATGCTGACATAGAACTATATCATCGTTAATGTCATTTTGTCAAAATCCTGGAACTCCCTCCTAAACAGCACTTTGGGTGTTTCTGCACTGCATGGACTGTAGCAGTGCAAAAAAGCAGTTCTCCACCACCTTCTCAAGGGCATCTAAAGATGTGCATTGAATGCTGACCTTGCCAGTGATGACCATATCCCCTGAATGCATTTTAAAAAAGCCATTTACTGTCCTGTCAAAAGCAGAAAGTGTTGGAGACAATCAGCAGGTTTGGTTGCATCTGTGGAGACAAAAACAGCGTTTCAATTTCATGTTCAGTATAACTTTCCTTTGGAATTGAAGGGGGATGGAAAATTATAGACTTATATGCTGTTTTGTTTCTGTTGACATCTGGGCTCATGTGAATATCCAAGGGTTATTTTTCTATTTTTGCAATGTGGACATCCTTGGCAAGGTCATCCTTTGTTGCTTATCATGGAAGAGACAATGGCCTATTGGTGTTCAGTATTATTCTGGTACTGGGATGTGAATCCCACCATGGTAGATGGTGGAATGCGAATTCACTATAAGTCTGGAAATAAAACACTAATGATGAACATGCAACGATTGTTGTAGAAAACAAAATTATTCACGAATGTCCTTAAGTGAAGGAAACTGCTGTCCCTGGCTGCTCTGGCCTTTATGTGACTCCAGACCCACAGCAATGTTGCTGACTCTTCACAGATGGTAAGCCTCTTAGTTGTACAAACCACTACAAAGCCTAAAGAAATGAATGAAACCTGATGGACCACCTCATATCAACAAAGTCACTGGAAATGGCAGTGGCAAACTCAGCTTTGTTATAACTCAGCCTGTATGAAAGAATCCAGGTCTCCATTTATTCAGTGACTGAAGATGGTATGCTCCATTTGGACTGAATTTATTCCTCTGCAGCCTGAAACAAAGTAGTGAATACCCAACATCAGTCCATCATCTCCACAGGAGAAATAGAGCAGATGTACATAGTGAGAGGATTCTTTCCTTTATTAATAAACAGTAAATCCAGGGCTGAGGACATACTGTGGTCCAGTCTAGGCTTCTGAACAATGTCCAGACAGCAGAATGGGAGAAAACAACTGGTCCACAAGAAATGGGGAAAGAGATTGAATGGTTTGTATTATGTTCAGACAAATTTCATACATAGATTAAACTATATTGGTATGCTTGGCAAAGTAATGCACTGATGGAGGAAGGACATTGAAAATGAAGAGATGGTAAATGTGTTCAAAGGGAGTTTCCAAACTTGGAGATATTCTGGACATGTTGGGTTAAAATTTCTAAGAAATGGCGAGACACTTTGATTCTTTTGCATTGGATACTGCAAAAGTTATGGCTCCTGACAATATTCCAGCAATAAAACTGAAGACTTGAGCTCTATAAACTTGCTGTGTCCCTAACCAAGCTGTTTCACCAATTTTAGTGATCGAGAAGAATTTACATTTCACTGCAGATTATAACATGTCATCCAATTACATGATTTCTTGTCAGAAAACATTTTCAGACATTTGTTTTCTCTGGCTACATTCATCCTGGCTATACCCAGGAAGATGTTTGTGGTTAATGGAGGTCCACTATTTCAGTCCTAAGATATTACTGCAGGATTTCCTCAGTGAAGGTATTTTCTCGTCAACTTGTTCAGAGATGTTATTAGACAACTCTGGAGCAGATGGTACTTGCATCCATGCCTCCTAGGTGAGAGATTGGGACACTACAATTGCACCACAAGAGCCCCTTGTTGTTCCAGTCAACATGCTCAGACATATATCAGTGGCAGGTGGGATCTTCTGACCCAAAGTTAGGGACGCTATCACTACAACAAAAATAAAGGAACAATCGCATTGAACATTCTCTCTTTTCTGTGAAGAAAGCAATCTGTTTCGGTATGTTTCAACACACCTCTAGGGTAGGTAGGACTTGAATCCTGGCCTGTCGGCATGAAACAACGGTGAGTATTTTTAATCAGCTATTTCAGATGTTCTGACACACCTCTGGAGGAGGTTGGACTTGAACTGAGGTCTCCTGGCCCAGAGGAAGGGACACTAACTGTCTTCAGCTGTTGCCTCAATAACCTGGGGATTGGAATTTGACCTGACAATGAATTGGATGAATCATATTAATTTTGTGGCAACAAAAGCAGATAAGAGGCTGGAGATTCATCAGGAATCACGCACTCTGTGATTCCTCAAAGCCTGTCCATCATCAACAAGGTACAAGTCAGAGCCAATGCTGTAAAACTCCCTGATTGAGTGCAGATAGAACAATACTCTGAAGGTCAACAGAGCAGTACACTTGTTTGCTACCCATCTGAAATCTTAAACATTCACTGCCCCCATACTGACACAATGCAAAAGTGTATACCATCCATAGGTATCCTACAATAACATGTCGAGGTTTTCTTGACCAACAATCTTTACCACCTGCTAGGAACTACTCGCAGTTCATTCTTTCACTATCTCTGAGATAAAATCCAGGAACATTCCTCTGAGCAGTACTTTGGGAATACCTGCATGAAAGTACAGCAGTAATTCACCACAGCCTTCACCTGAACAAGGGCATTTTTGAATGGTTAGTCAATGATGTCCTTGCTCGGGATGCTTAACACAATGATTTGTTTCTAACGCAAGGCGACTTGTTTGTAATGAGAGCATTATTGTGCGTGCAGGTGGCTACTACATCTACATTGAAGGCAATGAAGGCAGTGAGGGA